CTATAGTGTTAGACGCAGATTAGTTAAGATCAGGGGTGAAATGCTACCAGTTCAGACCATTTTGGGCGAACTGGTAGTAAAAAATGCTACCAGTTCAGGCGAACCAGTATTTCCAATGATCAGCTGGGCGACAATCAGCTGTGACGCGCAATTTATATTAGCTAGAATGGTCAGATTTCGTGCTTTCTAGCTACTCTAAATCACGTGGCACAGCGGATTCCCACCCTCTCACTATTCTACTTACCTTTGCAGGCTCAGAATGCTTCAAAATGTTCTTTTTTTAGCACTGTACAGGTGCACCTCAGGCAAAGCATGCACTTGGTAGCAGATTCACAGAACCGATAGCAGACTTCAGAGGATTTCACCCCTGGTTAAGATGGTGACACAATCATGTGAATCAAGTTCCATCTCTTTTTATTCTGTACAGTACTTTTACTTCTTATAGCCCTCCAAAAACATGGTTGAATATATGATATATACTGCCAGGAATAATTACTGTTTGAAGTAGCTATGAAAGGGAATTAACTCATTAAAGGAGAATGCTTTTATCAAGGTTTCACATGACAATTTCCAAGCTCAGAGACAAGAGCATCAGAGATAAAGAAAAAAGAACATCTGTACCCTATTTGTACCTTCACTGAAAACCAGTGTGTGGAATAATCCGATTAATGCAGCTGCAGCATGCTGACTGGGGAATTCTGGGAGTTGAAGTCCATACATCTTTCAGTCACCGAGATTGAGAAACACCAAATTAAGGATTCAGATTATGACTGAGATCATCTAGGCTCCTGAAGTCCATCCATAGCCATGGAAGCTTGGTTGATATAGGAAAGACATGAAATGATGTGCTAGCTATGCACATCAACTTGTGCTTCGATAGGAAAAGCAGAATATTTGCTTAATAAATGTATCTTCTACTTGATCTTGACCCAAAGGCCAGAAAGTAATAAAATAAATTCCATAAGCAGTTTTTGGAAATAAAATACTGTACTTGATGTTCATTCGATTTGGTCCAACAAGATTCTTCTTTGGTCAATCCTAAAAAAAGTTAGGATAGCCCAGGTGGACCAGAAGACAACCTGAATCCAGCATTTTGTTTTTTACAGATGCTGATGAAGGGAATATTGAGACATAGTCTCCCTTTCACGGGTCTTCTGAAACTAGTATTTAGAACAGGGCTGTCAAACTCCTGGGCCAGTGGTGGGATTCAAAATTTTTTACTACCAGTTCTGTGGTCGTGGCTTGGTGGGCATGGCTTGGTGGGCATGACAGGGGAAGGATACTGTAAAATCTCCATTCCCACCCCACTCCAGGGGAAGGATACAGCAAAATCCCCATTTCCTCCCGATCAACTAGAACTCAGGAGGCAGAGAATAGATGGGGGCAGGACCAGTCAGAGGTGGTATTTACCGGTTCTCCAAAGTACTCAAAATTTCTGCTACCAGTTCTCCAGAACTGGTCAGAACCTGCTGAATGCCACCTCTGCTGCGGACTGGATGTGTCACGTGCTGGCCACGCCCATGCCCGGTTTAGCAAAGGGGGGGGGGAAAGTCCCAGTACATCACGTGACAACATCTTGATGCAGTGAGTTTGACATCCCTGATTTAAAAGATGCAATGCAATGATAATATTGTGTCTCAAAACAAACAGCTGATGGTAATCATTTTTCTCCTTTTCTACTGATTATTACAATAGAATTTGCCTTTTTCACATATAGGTCAACAGCCTTACAGAATCAACTATGGCCGCCAAGATCATTTTCCTAGTGAGCTATCGGCAGCTTAAGCCTTCATCGGTCTATAGATGGTGAAGTTGGTCCCAGGACTGTTGTGAATCACACTTAAAATTAAATAGCTTCAGCATGTTATACAAATGTGGCCAATGACATTAAGCATCCTGATTAAATGAGTTGTGCAAACAAGACTGCTGGCTTATATTTAGGTTTTAAGCTAAAATCTCTTTTTTCTTTCAAAATTCTGCAGTCTTTCCTACTCCAGAGAACCCAATTCTTCCGATGCCTGCATTGATAATAGAAAAAAAGTTATTTGGATGCCATCTAGTGGCTTAAGATGCAAATATAAAATATTTAGAACCTATCCAAAGAGTGCCTTTTCTTTCAACCCCATCACATTTGAAAGGGTCCAAACAAATACTGATGTTTGCTTGGCTCTTTTGGGACTACACTTAAACCTGTTCACACAACACTGAACTGCAAAGTAGACAAACACATTTTGCCCAACCATATTTTTAAAATCCACTTGTATTATTAGTCCACTGTTTGGCTAGCTGGGGAAATACTGGGAGTTGAAATCCACATATTTTAAAATTATCGAGCTGAAGTGGTTTGTTTAGTGTTGTGTAAAGTTTGAAAATTGAGCAAATAACCAGTTTACCATGGGAAATGCATAGTCAACCATGGCATTATTATACATTCTTAGAAAAGGGGAGCGTTCATAATTTATTGTCAGCCTATTTCTCTTTTAAGTTTTGATCGAGTTCCTGAGTTTTTTAAAAAAATTGATATATTAAGCCACTTTAGTCTTTTGAGTTAAAGGTGAATTCTGTATGTGAGGAAGGAACGAATACCGGTAGTAGCATTAAAGATCCATACACACATTTCTATTGTCATCTGTAAATATTGATTGTGCAGTAGAGGTATTCATGATTTTTTTCCAAGCATTAAATTCTCCAAAAATGTATTTATTAAAATCCTCTAGTTGTATCTACTTATATTACTTATCATCCAGCTATCTTTTTAGGCTATAAATTATCTAGGTAACGAATAAAGCTTACCAAAGCATACCATACTAATAGGATACAAAGTGCAAAGTTGGCTGAGATTTCAGCAACAGACTTTCTCATTTACCTGGTGCTATTCTTATTTTCTCACGTGAGATGCTGCAAGATGAAGCTAATCTGAATTTTATTTGGGGGTATACAAATGTTCTGTCCTAACAATCCCTGCTCTATGAAAGGGTTTCCATGTGATTAGATCCCTGATACTCTAATTTTGTATTACAAGGACAGAATTTTCTGACTAAAGGTTTACTTGGTTTTGAACTTATTCACTGCCTGGTCTGTTTTTATCCTGTGTTGTACAGGAGCACAAGGTGATATGTGTATTACTCTCACTTATTTCACCCTATAACAGTCATAATATGATGTAGATTGGGTTGAGAGCAAGCAACAGACTCATAATCACCCAGTGAGCTTCTGGGGCTAGGATGAACCAGACCAGGGGTGGGTTCTAACCAGCTTTACTACCGGTTCTCTTTGTGTGCGCGCTTCGCACACGATCGCCCCACGCATGCTCAGTTCACTCACAGGCACACCAAACAAGCGCTTTGCGCAAGCGCATTGCGAATCTGCCCAGCTGAGGTGCGGCAATCCGCTCTGCCGCACCTCTCAGCTGGGCGAAAGAAGAAGAAATATAAGGTCAGAATAAGGTCAGGGGCAGGTGAGAGGGCCCAGCTCCCGAAGACAGAGAACCGGTTCAGTGACGTCATATTATCACCGCTACCAGCTCTCGCGAACCGGGCTGAACTGGGGGGAACCCACCACTGGACCAGACCTTAGGCCTTCTTCATCTTGTCCAATACCTCAACCACTTTACCACATGGTTCTCAAAACTGTCAGGAATTTTTACCTTGTGAAACCACCTAAATCAGGGGTGTCCAAGTTTGGCAACTTCAAGGCTTGTCAACTTCAGCTCCCAGAATTCCTCAGCCAGCATGGAAGTTGATGTCCACAAGCCTTAAAGTTGCCAAAGTTGGACAAAATTGGACCCCTGACCTAAATTAGTATCTAATCATGTTAATGTAACGCAATGCTTCTCAACCTTGGCAACTTTAAGGACTTCAACTCCCAGAATTCCTCAGCCAAGCTGAAGTCCACAAATTCTACATCAATCTAGCCATTCTGTGCATCTGGTGAAGCAAGCTGCAGTTCACCAAAAAGAATGCCTTTTTAAAAAAATTGTTAGAAAAGTTGCTGTCAGACTTCTGGTTTTCTTTTTTTTTAACTTACCAGACTAACCCTAGAATTTCAATAAACTGAGAGTCCAAACTTGCTTTAAGCAGATAGTGAGGCCACACTAACCTGGATGGACCTCAGAAGTTACTGTATTTTTCGGACTATAAGATGCACTGGAGTATAAGACACACCTACCATTTTGGGGGAGGAAAACAAGAAAAAAAATCTGCCTTTTCCCATTCGCTGCCACCTATTTACCGTGGCCCATTCACCTTGGCCTGTTTGCCATGACCCGTTCGCTGCTGTCCATTCAGTGCAGCCCATTTGTCACCACCATAGCCTGTTCACCGCTGCTGTGGCCCATTCAGCGCGGCCCATTCAGTACCACCCGTTTGCCGTGGCCTGTTCACTGCGGCCCGTTCACTGCCGCCGATCCCTACCTGGAACCGGCCAAAAATGCAATGCGTGGAGGCCAGAAATGCGACACATGGAGGCAGAAAACAGTTGAAGGGTGGGGGCCGGTAGGTGGGCTACATTCAGTGTATAAGACACACTGCAATTTTCACCCACTTTAAGGGGGAGAAAAAGTGTGTCTTATACTCCGAAAAGCACGGTAAGTAGAATCAACTCTGGTTAATACATGGATGGGTGCAGGTTGGAATTCCGGCGCTGTTGGCTTGACTGAAAACATCTTGGAAAAAGACAATGAAAAACATCTTCCAACATTACCAAGAAAATTAGATGCTATTACCAGGCCTAACCTTTGCTGTAAACTCACCCTCTACTTGGAAGATCACAAGGGGAATATAGAAAAGTTGAGTCTATAGCACGTATGCTTCAAGTACAAGAGTCTGATACTTTTAAATCTAATTCAAGAGGGCTGTAGCAAGCACAGAAAGAGCAGGAAAGCCAAGTTTAAACCATATTTACTTTATCTCAAAAAATTGCAGCGACAAGGGAGTCCCATAGACATCAACTAGTGCTCTCTTGAAGAAGGGTGGGGTAAAATAATGAAATCAAACAATGAGTGAAAACTCAGAATAATGTTTTATTGGGTGGCTATTAAGTAAAACTAAGTTATACATTTCATTTCCTTTGTAAATGGATGATAAAAAGCCTCAAATAATTTTGCTATTTATTCATGGGCAGAATGACTGTATTTGATAAAGTGTAACTTTAAATTGAGCCAGTAACATAAATCTTTAACTAGAAAAAAAAAAAAAATCAAAAGCAGCATATTATGACCCTTGGTGGTGCAGTAGTTAGAGTGCAGTACTGCCAGCTGACTGCCGGCAGCCTGCAATTTGGCAGTTCAAATCTCATCAGGTTCAAGGTTGACTCAGCCTTCCATCCTTCCGAGGTGGGTAAAATGAGGACCCAGATTGTTGGGGGCAATATGCTGACACTGTAAACCGCTTAGAGAGAGCTGCAAAGCATTGTGAAGTGGTGTATACCATGTTTCCCCCAAAATAAGACCCTGTCTTATATTTTTTTGAACCCTGATATAAGCGCTCGGCCTTATTGCCATGCAGTCAAAAGCCAGATTGGGTTTATTTTCAGGGGATGTCTTATTTTGGGGGGAAACAGGGTAAGTCTAAGTGCTATTGCTATTGCTATATTGTTCCCATATGATCCTAGAGTTCCTTAAGTTCATCCTGTCTTCCGTAAAAGGTAAGATGGGTCTTACCACCCCAATGTGGTAGTAGAAAGCTCCAGCTATCTACTTTTCCCACAAGGCTATATACGGTAGATGTGAAATAAATAAGGCAAAGAAGTATCAAGGGGTATGAATGCTCAGTGGTTAAAGACACTGCACTTATAGCTAGAAAGCTGACAGTCTGTGTTCAAGACCCAAGTGCCATGCAACGGGGTGAGCTCCCGTTCTTGCTCCAGCTCCTGCTAGCAGTTCAAAAGCATGCAAATATGAGTAGAGAAATAGGTACCAGTTCGGTGGGGAGGAAAAAGCGCTCTGTATTCCTTGGCTATAGTGATACTGGTCACATGACCATGGAAATGGTCTTTAGGCAATGTTGGTTTCCTTGACTAAGAAACGGAGATGAGCACCATCCCCAAGAGTCGGACATGACTGGACAGGGGAAACTTTATCTTTAAGAAGTACCAAGATCCGCTCTGAACAGTTGCCTAGAATTGTTCAAGTAGCTTGTGTTCCAAAAAGACAAAAATGCACAGGGGACAATAAGAGAACCTAGTCCTTGTGTTTTTCCTCCAAGCCACTTTGAAATAAGACCTGACTCCTTGTCTTCTTTTCCCAGAGGTGGGACAATAATTCTTTTAAGTGTCACCACATTATTTTTTAAATGCCATAAAAAAATCAGGTATGTTTCTTATCACACTTTTCAAGTGAAGTAGAATATACTACTTTACCAAGAGCATTCAAATTATCTTCTTGGAGATGCTGGTGAGGTAAATTTGGAACGGTGACCACAGTTCCCATATTCTTCTGCTTATATCAGGAGTGGGAGAACGTATGGCATTCCAGAAGTTTCTGAACTACAACTGTCAGCAACTCCAACCAGTGTGGTCAAAGGTGAGAGATGCTGGGAGGTATAGTTCACCAACTATACTTTAGCAAGGTAACAAATATCTCCCTTCTGTTTATATATACATATGCATTCATACTAATTGGAAAACCACTTGTTGTTAACAGTATTTTTAGATTGTCAAAGAAATTGATCTACACATAGATTATCTCCTGCAAAAAAATAAAATATCTTGTTTGGTTGCTGCACATTATGCCAAGAGAACAGGTACAATTCAAGTGTGTGTGTGTACATACTCACACGTACACACAGCTGGAATAAGGGTTCGATGCATCTTTTCAAGTCATAAAATTAGTCATGCTTTTTCTTCATTTATTAGCATCAGCAGTCAATGCAACTGAACCTACGTATAAGTAGTCTTCAAGAATTGTATTGCGATTAAATTAACGTGAACAATATACATTGTCTCTGCATGTTAACTGGATAAAGATCAGTGTCTATTACAGGATTCACACTTCGAAAACGCAAGATTTCTCATCCTCATGGTTTAGCAGTCTGGGAAGTAAGGATGCTTCACTAACCTTGATCTCTGTTCCCAGCCTCTCTGACCTTAGCTGCCATCTGATTTTATGTTTTGTGTTTTTCTTTCTTGTTTCCCATCTTTCCATTTCTTTTCGCTAACCTCATTGACCATGTATAAGTTTGAGAACACAAGAAATTACTCAAAATGTTTATTCCGAGTGTAATCTGGCTTTCTTTGATAGAAAGACAGTCTAGTCTCTACTTTTCTATTCACCTGTCAACTCTAAGAATAATCTTCAGTGAACAAGAATTAATACTGGTGTTCCAAGTAAGGATCTAGCCCTCCTTGTTTTGGTGATATGTTTCTAGACTTTGTCATGAACACAGATTCCATCATTGATATTTCTCCAGTTTGTCCACCATAACATAGTGCCATCTGGTGCTTTCTGATTTCTCCAGAGCAACTCCAGCAGCTGAAATTTCATATTTCACAAGGCTGTTAATTTTGTAGTTGTGTCTTCTGCCTGGCTGTCGTCTTTGTTGCTCTGCGTTGTCAGAGTGTCAGTGGATTCCAGGTGGTTCTCCTCAATTTTTAAAGCAAGGTTGTCAAATCCAGTACTATCTGCCATTGGCAAGGTGGTTGAAGGGACTTCTGCAGTACGGGTTGGGGTGGAGCAATACATGATGAAGCCTATCATGATGACCACAAAGGATAAGAGATACAGCACGGAAAACTGTCCAACATAAAGAGAGAGAGAGAAAGAAAGAAAGAGAGAATTTCAGATATGAATAGTCTCTTCCATACAAACATGGGTAACCATAAAATCCATATATCCTAATAGAATAGAATAATAACTTTATTGTCACTTTGAATGTACACTAATCAGCATAGATTAAAGTGAAATTTCATTGCATACAGTTCTCAAAGGGTCACCACCAGGGGTGAAATCCAGCAGGTACTGACAAGTTCTGGAGAACCGGTAGCGGAAATTTTGAGTAGTTCGGAGAACTGGCAAATACCACCTCTGGCTGGCCCTAGAGTGGGGTAGGAATGGAGATTTTGCAATATCCTTCCCCTGTCATGGCCATCAAGCCACACCCACCAAGCCACACCACGCTCACCAAGCCATGCCCACAGAACCGGTAGTAAAAAAAATAGAATTTCACCACTGGTCACCACCTCCAATGAACACTACATAAACGTAAATAAATACATTAATTATGCCTAAACATGGTCATCCAGAGGAATGAGGGATATTACATGTGTTATGACATCACTGCATAAACGATGTAAATGATATCATTTGCATCAATTATACGATGATACAAATAACCCTCTATTTGTGTCATGTGTATGATAACATGACAGGTGACATCAACATGGTTTATGCCTAGGTGGCTAGGCATTTTGTGGCTTCTTTTTAACAGCAAAGGCTTTACTGAAACAACAGAGGATTTACTGTATCAAATTCTTTCAATTACATTAGGATAAATTACTGGGTTGACTCAAGACCCGTGCTATTTGATGGACAGATTGAGAAGATGGGAGAGGGAGGGTTAATTCTAGGCCATGCACCAATCTCATATCACTTTTGCTCTCTTTAGCCAGCTGTACTTTTCACCTTCCCTCCCATTATTAATTCAAACAGTTTGAGAAACAAACAACAGAAGAAAATAAGTCTTAGGTCTAGCATTAGCTTCAATGTTCCTTCAAAACTGAAGATGATTTAGCTACAGGAGCAGATTTACACTGGTATCCATTGGTATCCATCTTGAGCTTTGACCTTTGGTTTTGGTATGTAAACTGAAAAGATTTGGATGCAGACAACAAGAAAAGCATTAAAAACTCTGAAGCACTTTCGGTCTTGAGACTAAGGGTAGATGAGCTGCCTGCCAGAAATTCTAGGAGAATCTATAAGCAGCTCCAAGCTAGCTAGCACTAGTGAAATAATGTACTACATGAGGCTCTAATTCAAGGCACCAAATCAATATGCAAAGGTGAGACTCTATCTCAAAATGTTTTATAACACTCTAATTTGGCAGTCATTCAAATCAGGAGACAGATTATGAGCACTTTTGCTTCCAACGTGATATTTTAATTGCTGCTGGTAGACAAGGAAAATTACAGAATAGGCATGTATTTTTTCCCCTTTTACTTGGGGAACCTGAAGATCCATTCCCATGGAGACACTCTGTCACTTAAAGTTAGAGGCATGATTTATAGCTTTTAGTCAACAGTTGACCACATGGGTCCCCCCCTGCAAGGCCTCCCAAACTCACATGAGTGCCCTAGAGAGCTCCTATATTAATATGCCTATCCTGTTTTATTGGCAACTAAATGAAACAAAGTTGGCACTCTCTTCTTTTGAGATATTTTTCCAACCTCCAAGTCAAGTTTATAGCCCTTAGATTCCCAGTGTTTCCTATCCAAATATTAACTGGATCCAATCTGCTCAGTTTTTTCAAGGTCAGCAAAGATTGGCTAGATGCCATCACCTGTTGTAATTGGGCAGTAATTATATTAACCATAATTAGTTACATTTCTGTTTAAATATAAATGAAATGAAACCACGTTTACTTTTCTTCCCTGACTCCTGGCACATCGCTCAAAATCAAAGTGCGGCCTTTGTCATGCAAATCATCATGCATGTCTGCTGTAAACATTTAGAAGTCTTTAAATCCAATCACAAATAAAGTTTTATCCAATTAAACATTGGCCTGCACGTATTTGAATGAATTGCTCTGAGGTGTGGAAGGCTCTGCCGTCGTAAGAAAAATGTAATTAGTTGGTTAAATATAATTCTTCTTCTGAGAAAAGAACCTATTAAGAATTCTGAGTAAGCTGAAAAGCTTCAATAATCTTTAATCAACAAGAGTTAGTGCAATAAAGGTTTGCTTTTGAAGGTAGCTTTATGTCATTCCAGCTCCGTATTAAATATTCTGACTCAAAGTTGCTTCTCCCAAACTGCCAGCCATGCTTATTTTCTAGTCTTCTGTTAAAGTTGAAATAGATGTGACTGAACTATGGACCTTATGAGTGGAAACAAAAACTGTTTGTGAGTCACTTCCTAAACCTTGCGTAATTCAACCCTCAATATTATAAAACACACAGCAAGTCAACGTTATGGGATAAAGACATTCTTGTCAGATACACACAACTTGAAAATCCAATCAGAAGTACAAAGGTGATCTATATGGAAAACAAAGAGCTTTAAAACCAAAAGAAACTACTCTTTTAGGCCTGAAACTAGCTCTAGGCCAAGAATCTGAGGCAGCAGTTTTGCTAGGGAAAATGACCTTTTGGAGTCATATCTAAGCTTCTTAAAAGAAGCTTAATCTCATCCCCTCACAGACATTTCAGCAAATCAGTTATCCAAATGCCAGTTTATCACTCTAAAACATTCTGCGTTGGAGACTTGCAGCAAGCCCACAGAGTTTCACCACATAAACCAGAGTAAACTTTCAAGGTCTTATTTAGACTATAGTGTTAGTACCTCTGGGGAGTTTACAGAGGGCAGGCCTCTTTTCATGGTAATATGTGCTCTGACTTTTCCAAATTGCTAATTCTCTCAATGCAGTGGCACCAGAGATCTCAGAATTCATGGCACTTTCAGGATCTCAGGTTTTAGGGAAACGCGACACCGCTTGTGTTCATACGTTTGAACTAATTCACAAAAATGTTCAGTTTGTTTTTAGCTAAGTATGATACGTGATTCCAGCAAGTAGGGTTTCGGAATTGTGGTTATGACTTAGTGAAAAATATAATCAAGATCACAGTAAGTCAACAAATCAGAGTTAAAATGATGGGGAACCTTTTTTATTATTATTCCAAGAACTTCACCAGGTATAGCTAGAAGAAACAGAAATGATATTTTTTTCATTGGGGAACAGGTTTTAAGAAAATTGGGATATTAAAAAGAGGCTTAATAAATCCAACAAGCTGCATGCTTCTATAGTTTGCTACTGAATTTTGGGGAGGTGATTTATGAGGATTCTTGGGTAGAGGTGGGATTCAGCCGGTTCTGGCAAACCGGTAGTGGTGACTGTGGGAGGCTCCACCCACCCGCCCGGACATAATGCGTGAGTATTGTGCATGCACGGAAGGCCATGTGCATGACAAGAGGTGGCGAGTGCAAGCAAAGCGAGCGTGCATGCACGCTCGCATTTGCGAATGGTAGGGAAGGTTGGTGAATCCCACCTCTGCTCTTGGGACTATAAAAAGGGACTGGGGGTTCCATGTAGCCACTAGCTGTCCTAATTGTCCAACTAGCTCTCCAACCTAGAGCTAAAGAAAAATTTCCTGACAGTTAAAACAACTAATCAGTGGAACAGCTTGCCTCCAGAAGTTGTGAATGCGCCAACACTGGAAGTTTTTAAGAAGATGTTGGATAACCATTTGTCTGAAGTGGTGTAGGGCAGTGATGAAATCCAAATTTTTTTACTACTGGTTCTGTGGGCGTGGCTTGGTGGGTGTTGTGTAGCTTGGTGGGCGTGGCTTGGTAGGTGTGGCAGGGGAAGCATACTGCAAAATCTCCATTCCCACTCCACTCTTGGGCCAGCCAGAGGTGGTATTTGCCAGTTCTCCGAACAACTCAAAATTTCCGTTACCGGTTCTCCGAACTGCTCAAAATCTCCACTACTGGTTCTCCAGAACCTGTTAGAACCTGCTGGTTTTCACCCCTGGTGAAGGGTTTCCTGACTAAGTAGGGGGTTGGACTAGAAGAACTCCAAGGTCCCTTCCAACTCTGTTATTCTATAATTTAAGCTAATGTGAATAACTTCCCACCTCATTTGTTGTCTGTAGGATCAGACACTTGGCAGTTCAAGGTTGCATTACCAGGGAAGGTGGCTAACATCCTTCTATTCCCTCAAAAAATAAGGTATCTGCAGATACTCTTTTACTCTTTGTGCATCTGACATAGACAGTAGTCTACAAAAAAGTCTGCAATAATAAACCTGAATTCTAATCAACGAACATTAACACTACAATAAATCAGTTAGTTATTAAATGGTTGCGAAACTGCTGATGCTTTAATTCCTTATTCCAATCACTCTTGAATGTCCTCAATTGCTGGAATTCAAGTCTCACTCACCTTGTAGCCAAACAGAAAAAGTCCAAAGAAAAGACTGTAGAGATCAGCTGTCAGGATGCCCAAATTGACAGAGGTGGCACTGGTCACTCTAATCACAATCGGCATGAAGCTGTACAGTCCAAACATGCACAAGGCAAAAGCCACGAAGAGCAGGGCTGGAAAAGAAAGCAATGACTTGTCAGTTCAGAGACTGAATGTCAAGAATATAAAGGTGGGGCAAGGAGAAATGTCAATATTGAGAAATTGCTTCTTTTTTTTCCCCCATCGCCAATACTTTTGTAAAACTGTCATAATCTATGTCAGGGGTATCAAACTCAAGGGCCGGGGGCCAGATTCTGTCCACGGGATGCTTAGATCTGGCCCGCGGGGCCACTCTGGAAATAGCAAAGTACCGGCCCACGGTGCCATTGCCAGCAAAAATGGAGCTCCGTTTTCACTGGCAGAGGGTTACAGGAGGCCGTCGCAGCCAAAAATGGAGCTCAGGAGCCCATTTTCACTGGCAAAGCACTTGGGCCACCACAGGCGCCCCCGACATGAGTGACGTCAAGCTGGCCACACCCACCCTGGTCACACCCACCTCAGCCCCCCCAAGGCCAAACACAACCCTGATGAGGCCCTCAATGAAATTGAGTTTGACAGCCCTGATCTATGTGCATATTCTCCCAAAACAGGACAATATCCCCAATTCCTAATTGTTGGTCTTTCTGGCTGGCAATGAACAGTAGCCAAACAACAGATGGGAATTCAAGACTGCTAAATTAAACACTTATTGACAATTAATGTCATCTCCATAGACTTCTATAGCAAATGGAGATGACTTCAAAATGAAGACATGTACACAGTGACTTCATTATGCATTTATTATGCAGGGAAGATTGAGTTTAATTGTACTGATCCTTTATATTCAATGCAAGCAGAATGTCTGGATCTTATGCATTTTTTCTAAATTGCTAACTACGTAGTATGGGGAGGGGAATCCTCCTTAGTCCCACTTTGTTATTTATTTTAGTTCACTAGGTAACATAATGAAAGTAGGCCTGGTTTGCAAAGCAATTCAGTTTATTTGTCCCTGTGTTGCACAACACTCATACATACCAATTTTCCAATTCCACTGAATGTTAGCTATGTCTCTATGTTCCACAATAGCTCTAAAAATGGCAGAGAAAAAGAGGAGAAAGAATAAAAACAGAAAAGAAATGCTCATTAAAATGTGAGGCTACTGTTTCCAGAGCCTAGAATAAATTGATAAGTAATAGATAGGTTAATAGACAAATCAGCTTACAACAAATTTACCTTTACTTAAAAGTTAAGGCTTTGGTAGAAACCATCTCAAGTCAGAATATATAGAATTACAATTTTGAGACACATTTTCTTACTCCTTAACAGATTTATAACAGTATAAACTTTTAGAGAAAGGAGCCCAATTTGTCAATTATTGACAAACTATTGCTCTTAAAATAAAATAAAACATTGTGCTACAAAGTGTTAAGAGGTAGCATACAGATGATGATGATATATTAGATATGATATATTATATTAGAAAGCAGAGAAATAGGTTTAAATCCCCAAGAGGGATTTAAAAAAAAAAAAAAGAACCCAGAACTTTCTAAAGTTCAACTAAAAACCTATAAAATGGTTTTATTGCATTTTATTGCATTCAAGTACACAAGTCCATGTCATCACCCCTACAGTTAAGCCCTGATGTAAATATTTCATCTTCTAAATGGCCCCTCTTGAACTATCTGGCCCCTCTTTCATCTTCGTTCCCTGGCCTCTCTTGAACTATTTCAGTTATATAAGGAACCACACCCAGAAAATCAGCTTGCTGTTAATATTAAGTATTGCTTAAGAAACAGAACGAAGAACACTGTGCTAGCAAGCTAATTCACAGCTTCAGGTTTTATTGGTCTGGTTCATACAATCAAATAAGTCAGTATGGAGAAGGTGAATCCTTTTATAAACAGTATAAACTCAGTCCATGTGACAAAAAACATGAGAAGAACTGTTTCAAATCATTCAAAAAGACTCTGTTTTAACTTTAATTTTGGCCAACATACTACTTTAAAGATGTTGAGACTTTGGAAAAAGTTCAGAGAAGAGCAGCTAAGAAGATCAAAGGCCAGGAGACTAAACCATATGAAGAACCGCTGCAGGTTTTGGGTCTGGCTAGTCTAAAGAAAAGAAGAATTAGGGGTGACATGATAGCAGTATTTCAGTATTTGAGAGGCTGCCACAAAGAAGAGGGGGCCAAATTATTCTCCAAAGTAGCAGAGGGCAGGACAAGAAATAATGGTTGGAAACTAAACAAAGAGAGAAGCAACCTGGAATTAAGGAGAAACTTCCTAACAGTGAGGACAATTAATCAGAGGAACAGCTTGCCTTCAGAAATCGTGGACGCTCCATCACTGGAGATTTTTAAGGAGAGCCTGGACAGTCACTTCTCTGAGATGGTATAGGTTCTTCTGCTTGAGCAGGAGGCTGGACTAGAAGACCTCCAAGGTCTCTTCCAGCTCTATTCTATTCTAATTCTAACTATGTAACTACAAATAAGATATTCAAAGGACCAACATAGATGCCTTACAAATTCTAAAGTAAATAAGCAAACATAAAAATGAACCAGTGAGACAAACAGTTGAATTTCTGCTTGCTGAAACTGTAAAAGATAAACAGTCTGTAGCAATGATTGCAGAAAGTCAGGATCGGAACTTACTAATGGTTAACCTCATAGAATCTTTAATTCCATGACTAATTCTACGAAAGTCAAAGAGATGATTTGCATGAATAACCATTGGCTGAACTTGACAATCCATCTGACTGCACGATCAGCTGTTACCCCCTTGCAAGCCTACAGATGCTCAAACACCCACAAAGGTTAATTGTGATGTTAACAATGGGTTAATAATTGCGCCCACCAATACATAGAAGAGAAACCATTCTATGCTGTGAATGGTTTTCTTAATTGCAATTAAAATACGTATAGTAGATCCTTACAGCTGCAGACCGCTGATAACAGTCCCAATCAAGCCCACCATTCCTAGAAACTCCATTCTGCTCAGATTTTTCACAATGTATTCCTCACTCACATTCGAAATGGCATATAATGAAGCGCCAAGGAGGACTAAGACATCTCCAACCATCACGTCACTTCCTGCACAGAAAACAGGGACAATAACAACAGAGGGAATTTGAATGGTAAAATTAAAAGGATGATTAGTAATATTTCCAATATTAAAGTGTTTATGAGAAGGAGTCTCCTTTCTCTTTATACAATAAACGTTGAGTGTGTTTAGTGTTTCCTCAAAACCCAGTTCTGATTTGAGTTGACTAGTTTCAAACATACAATAGGTGGGAATTAGAATATTTTCTTAGATTTACCTTCCTTTTTTAAAAAAAGTACAAATAATACAAATATAGTACATATACATCTAAATACAAAAAAAGAAAGTAAAAGAAAAAAAAACAAATATTACAGTGCACCCCCACCCCGCCAGAGACCATTTCCTCTCTCCTTATATTTCTTCGTCTATAACAACTAAAAGATATACATACTCTAATTGTGCCCTTATCCTCTCCAAAACAACATATATTCTTGAGTAGGTCTATTCCCTTTGCCTTTCACACATACTGATTTTATAAAATCCTCCCATATTTCATTATAATTGTTTGCTTTGATCACCCCTTTTTTTAAATTTAATTTCTGTTGTTAATTTATCATTTGTTGCCATACTCCAAATTTCATTATACCACTCATTTCTTTGAATATCCCAATTTCGTCCCCAATATTTAGCCATCACTAATCTAGCTGCCATTATCAAATTTACAATGAATTCCTTTTTTGTTTCATTTATATCTTGTTTTTCCACCAGCAACAATAATGCAATTCTTGGTGACATGTTTAAATTTACATTTAAAAGTGCTCTTATTTCTCTAAACACCATGTCCCATATTTTTTGTGCACTATCATAAACCCACCAGATATATTTATATGTTCCAGATTTACCTTCCTTTTAAAGTACACCACGCAAATTTACCTTCCTTTTAAAGTATACCACCCAAATAAATGATCATGACTGTCCTGAAAAACCTAAACAAAATCAGACCTGGAGAACAGGTCTGGGAGAACACCAGGAATCTTCAGAAAACTTCCCATCATAAAATAATGATATTATTTCCATATTATTGATTAGAGATCAGCCAGGAAGGATCTCAACTTGAAAGCTCTGTGCCTTGCTTTTTTTTCAGCCTCCAAAACTTCTGAAACTCTGTTTCAGAAAAAACTTTTTTTTCTGCCTCTGAAAGCCTCCGAAACAGAGCTTCAGCTGAAGCTCTGTTTCGGAGGCTTTTTTTCTGAAGCTTTGTTTCTGAGGCCTTTTTTCTGAAGCTCTGTTTGAAAGCTTTTTTTCTGAAGCTTCATTTCTGAGGCTTTTTTCAGCCTCTGAAACCTCCGTTTCGGAAACAACATTCGGAGTGTAAGACACATCCAGATTTTCACCCTCTTTTTGGGGGGAAAAAGGTGCGTCTTATACTCCGAAGTAAATAATGCCTCACAACAATATAAAAATCAGCCAGTTGGAGATCAATGAGAGTAGTCTTAAAGTTTATGAGAAAATAGCATTTAATGACCATAAGAATCCACAAGAAACAGTATTCAAAATGTTTAAATTAATACCAGAAGAAAATGTAGGCTCTTCTAAAATGACTAGCGTGGAAAGTTACTTGAATGGTTATACAAATTCTAAACAAAATATAATAAAATAAGCCTTTTAAATTCTGTTTAAAAACAGAATTTAAAATCAGAAAAAAATGAAATTTTGAAAAATTCAAAAAAAATAAAAAATAGTACTATTTAGATACCCAATTATTCGACTCCATATGAATGGTATTGTATCCCATAATTGTTGGAAAATATTTAGTAAAAGAGGAACTTACCTATATTTATTGAAAAATTCAATTCAATAATGAATTCAATCTTCTGATAATTCAAGCATCAAAAATTTGGCCTTAACTGTACAAAACTAATTGTACAACAACTAGCTTGTAATGTTTTTACTATTTATCTTTATCTGACTGAAGATATTGTTTGACTTTCTCTTCTCAGCATGATAAAAACAAGGAAACAAACTTCGAAATCAGCATTAAATCTGGGATTATCAAAAAGATCACAGTGGCAATTGCAACCATGTGTTTGAAGCCCTGGCTGTTTTATGTGTATTGTGCATGTGGGGCACATAAAAAGGCATGGGGCTTCACACAGATACCATCCTGACTTTATTTATCCCCCCTCTCTCCCATTCCCCCCAATCCTAAACTTCCCTTATTAAATTCTACAGAAGCTTTAGACTTTAGATGTGAGCATCTAAAGATCATAAACCCACAAAGATTATAAAACAATGCAGCAAATGACCTCTATGGACAATTATTATGTTTTTTTGCCTCAGCTTTGCCATCAAATTCTCACGGTTTCTTTTGGAGACACTTTTGAAGATGTTGAAATTATTCATATGTAGCCATCATAGATTTTGGACTTCCTGTAAGTCATTTTTGACCTTGAAGTCCGGAAACATTATCAGAACAATTTGGGTTCATTGGCATCTGCAGGGCAAGGCAATGGGGGAAGGGGAGAATGATGACAGTATTATGCAGGGTTGAAATTCAAAATTTTTCCCTACTGGTTCTGTGGGAGTGGCTTGGTGGGCGTGGCAAGGGAAGGATATTGCATTCCCACCCCACTCTGGGGCCAGACAGAGGTGGTATTTGCCGGTTCTCCGAACTACTCAAAATTTCCGCTACCGGTTCTCCAGAACCTGTTAGAAACTGCTAGATTTCACCCCTGGTATTATGCCATCACAACATAAGCCCCATTTCTTTGATGCACGTGTCACAACTTTACACACACACACCTATGAAAGAACCTGAGCTTCTGCTGCAAAACGTCTTTTGACAGTTTGTTAAAAGCTTCCATGTTTGGCTTTCTTTTGAAAATCAAATCATTCCTACTCTTACAAGATAAGAAAACTTTTCTTGCTCTAAAACATGGAACCTAATCCTAATTCTGCTTTTGAATTTTGGTGCTGAAGAAGTGTCCCTTAAACTGCAAGGAGATCAAAGCAGTCAACATTAAAGGAAATCAACTCTGACTGTTCTTTGGAAGGACAGATGCTGAAGCTGAAACTGAAATACTTTGGCCACCTAATGAGAAGAGAGGACTCATTGAAGAAGGCCCTGATGTTGGGAAAGATTGAAGGTAATAGGAGAAAGGGATGCCAGAGGATGAGATAGTGTTCAATGCGATGAACATGAATTTGGGCAAACTCCAGGAGACAGGGGAGGACAGAGAAGCCTGGCATGGATCATGGTGGCTCCCGTGGTTAGTATGATGGGTTGATGATCAGCAAGCCCATGTTCAAAACCCAAGTGCTGCTGTGTGACAGAGTGAGTTCCTGTAATTCACTCCAGCTCCTTCCAACATAGCGGTTTGAAAGCGTGCACTTGCAAGTAGATAGATAGGTACCACTTCAGTGGACACATTAACGGAGATGTAAAAGGAGCCCCCAGTCGGGTGTCATTCCTTTCAAATAGAAGCATCTTGGTGCTTCCTATACAAATATGAATGAGGGGAGCCTGGAGTGCTGTGGTCCATGGGGTCGCAAAGAGTGGGACACAATTTAGCGACTGAACAACATTTTAATTCAGTGTAAAAACTATTGTGAGTAACGAATTCTATCAGATAGATATTTCTGTAGAAAACAAACATATTACTTGCTCTTGGATATTTTAAGAACCCCAGCAGAAACCGCACATTCGGTTAATGCCAATGATTATCTGTCCAGAATCTTAGATTTCCTCCCCACATCTCTCTGTATTTTGCATTAATGGCTTAATTTAACTTTCCATGAAAATCAATAGATCAATCTCCTTAAGAGCTAGACCAAGTTCTGCATTTCAGAAAGTTTCCAAATGGATGTTATTTTATTTTAATTTCAGGCCAAGACTTTTAGTCCTTGTTTTACTAAGCCTTACTGCAACACGATCCTATTGAGAACCTTGTTCAATGTCCAAATTGTTCTTTTCAACAGAAATGCACATTTTTATGGGCGAGGGATGTTTTTTCAGGCAGAGTAACAGTCTTTTAAATAAGTGATATTAAACAAATGAAAAATTTCTGAGGACTATGTTGCTATTGTAAGAAGGTAAGAGCTATTGGACTTCTGCCTATTATTAGGGCAGCCAGAGACTTCAGCATTTTGGCCTTTGTTGAACTTATGATTTTATCTAAGATATGAATCTCCTACTTGAAAAAAAAAACTTATGAAACTTAAAAGATAGGTGCAGCTTCCAGGGAAGAAATTGTGAACCAAAGATAGTTCTGCTAAAAGCAGATTCAAAGACCGCACCACATTGAAAAATCATCCAGTAGACGGGTTCTTCATTATTCCTCTCCAGATAAGAAGAGGACGTAAGATCACCCACAAATGCTCCAAACAGTTGCTCCACACAAGGAGACTGCAAGACAGCGTTTTCTGGCAGTTATGAGAAACAAGGGAATAGCCATCTTTTGCTCAAATTGGGGGGGGGGAGGAGGAGAGCGGGGAAGGTCAGCATATTCTAAAGGACACAGGGTTTATATATATACAGGTAGTCCTTGACTTACAATCATTCATTTAGTGACTGTTTCAAATTACATCAACATTGAAAAAATGACCGTTTTTCACACTGACAACCATTTCAACATCTCCACAGTTACATGATCAAAATTCAAGTGCTTGGCAACTGACTCATATTTATGATGTTGCAGAATCCCAGGGTCATGTGATCACCTTTTGCAACCTTCTGACAAGCAAAGTCAATGGGGAAGTCCAATTCGCAAAACAACCATGTTACTCACTTAACAACTGCAATGATTGACTTAACAAGCAAGGTCATAAAATGGAGCAAAACTGCTTTTAGAACATTTAGAATGTAGAATAACAGAGTTGGAAAGAACCTTGGAGGTCATTTAGTCCGAGGCCCTGCTAGAACTGGACAGTGCCATCATATCTGCCCTAGTCCTTCTTAGCGACAGAAATTTTGGGCTCAGTTGTGGTCATGAATTGAGGACTATCTGAGATTTATTTTCTAATCATTTCTGGAAATTGATTTTAACTGCTTTTAAGCTATTAAAAATCTTTGGATTGGCAAGTCTGAATAACGTGGTGAAGTTTCCTTTAATTTTTAGTGAAAGATGTTCTAAATACACATTTAAGGCCTTCAAATATTTTTTTTTAAATAAACAATAAAAGAGTAATTAGAAATTTGATTATAAATGGACTAAGGGCCCAGATGGATTTTGGAGTCCTTCATATAGAAAATTCTTTTGTTTTGAATTCTTTTTTTTTTTTTTAAAAAACATGATAGGATAAGCCTCGGAAGGTTGAACACCAGAGGGAATCTGAGGGAACAAAGATGACAATTAAAGGAGAAGAACACTTAAATTTCACTTACTAATATAGAATGAAGCAAAATATTTTAACGTTGGACATATCAAAGGATATTTTTGAACAATGGACCTAAAAGTTAAATTTTGGAATATCTTCCTCTATAGGCAGACCGTATTTAAAAGATGTTATGCCAGAGGAACAGGTTTTACTGGAGAAGGGTGCGATCGATCTGAAAGGATTAAAAAATAATAGGCTTCAAGAATGATATGGAAAAAGATGCTACACTAGATATATAAAAGAAACTGCTGATGTCTTAATTATAACAGACACACAAGTAACAAACCAAGAGACCTAGATAATTTCTCCATTTACATAAGAGGCCTGTTAAAAGCTTTGAAGAATTTTGTGGCCGAGTTATGAACAGAGAGGGGTTGGCAATGAAGCCATGGAAAGTGCTGGATTTTCCTTCCCGTTCCCCAAGAACTGCATGGAATAAGGGATGGGATATGGTGGCAGGGAGGGAGGGTCTCACATGCTTTCCTCACCACAAATGTTAGACCTTGGAGGAAGATAATTGCTCCCTACGTTTTGGAGGAGAGCGTAGGACCATGATGGTGAACCTATGGTACACGTGCCCGATGACAGAACCATCTTTCTGTTCTGCCCCAGCTACGGACCCTAAAGAATGCAGCACACACAAAGTCTGTACAAACCTTAGTTTACTAAATTAAATCAGTCTTTTTCAAATAAAGGCTGTTAATTAACTTTCTTAACAGCCTACAAGAATCCAAAGAATAAATAATCGTAATCTTACTATGGTTGGCAAAAAGCCCAGAAGCAATTTGCAGGAAACAGATAAGAGAACTAAGATCAGGACGCGAAGAAGAGTGAACGAAGTTTTTCCCTGCAAATTACCTCAGTCGTTGTCCTTCCTTAAATAGGCTAAGGGAGTGGCCAATTAGCCCCAAGCCTTACTCTCGAGGAGACCTCCTCCTGAGGAGCCACTCCTGCCTTTTGGCAGCTCTGCGCACCCGTGCATCAAGAAGAGGCTCCTCCTCTTCTTCCTCTTAACTTATGGGAGCTTCTGGAGGTTCTGAAGGCCCTGGCTGAATCCCTGCCTCTGGCACCACATCTTCTCCAGCCTCCTCATTGACTGACTCGAGTGCCAGCTGCACAGGCTGCTGGCGCAGCAGCACATCAGCCTCCTCGCTGTCAGAATCAGCTACAATCCGCACAGGCCGCTGACGGGCCACAACCCTATGGTGGAAGGGAGGGAGGGGTCCCACATGCTTTCCTCACCACAAATGTTTGTCCTTGGAGGAAGATAATTGCTCCCTACATTTTGGAGAAGAGTGTAGGACCGTGATGGTGAACCTATGGCACTCGTGCCCGATGACAGAACCATCTTTCTGGGCACAGGAGCTGTCGCCCAACTCACCTGCAGCTGTGTACACGTGTGTGCCCCAGCTGGTGTTTGGGCCTACAGTGCACATGCGCACAATTCAGGGGACCATGCTGAATTTCGTAGCTCTCCTGCAAATGCGGGCGCGTTTGCACATGCACGTGAGAATACTGTCGCACAGCACATGCATGCGAGGATGGCATTCCTGTTTGTGCATTGTGAGCACAAAAACCGCACCCATGCATAGATGGTGCAATTGCGCACACAGCGCACAGGGGAACCACGTGAAACCTGCACGCATGTGCAGATGGTGCGATTGCGCACTCAATGCACGGGGGAGCCGCGCAAAAGCTGCGTGCATGTGCAGATGGTGCAGTTGCATGACCAGCGCACGGGGGAGGAGCTGCACGTTAGTGTGGATAGCACGCACATGTGCAAAGCACACGAAGCGCGTACCTGTTCAGCACTTGGCGAGTAAAAGGTTCGCCACCACTGGCATAGGATATGCTGCAGGTGAAGCAAAAAACAGTAAGCTCTTTTGCAGCTAAGGTGGAAAACATGAAGCACGGTGATACTGCAAGTATCTTGAATGGCAAAATATGAATCAAGGATGTTTCTCTAAGCTACCCCCTTTCCACTATCTAAAGAAAACAGTAATTGTACATCTGCTGTCAGATTTCCTTCTAAGAACAGTTCATGACATTTCCATCCAAAGAGAAACTCACTCACTGTGCCAGGATAAATAAGCATTAAAAACAGAGTATTGCAATAAGTCAGCAGCCCCCAATCGTTTGGGCACCAGGGACCGGTTCCACGGAGAGACATTTTTCTGCTGACCGGAAGGGGCATGGTTTCTCATGCTGCCTGCATCCCATGGATGGGGTTTCCCTTGTTTGCACAGCCCAGTTTCTGGCATGCTGCGGCCCAGTGCCGGTCCACAGACTGGGGGTTGGGTACCCCTGCAATAACTGACATTCTCTACACTCGGTCAGGTCATTGATCTACTAAGCAGTTAACACATGGATGGGCAATCTACTACTTACATCCACTAATGCCTGCCACACACCCTGTTCCCTGCACATTCTCAAATAGCTAATCTTTTTGGCCTATATGTGGAATTGGAGGGATTTTTAAGGGGCAAAGTGGATTGACTTAAGTCTTGCAGTAGCTTAAGGCACATTTTTTTCCTTTTAAATAAATCCACCCACAGCAAAAATTTGGTTATGTTTTCTCAACACAGGTAGTCCTCAACTTATGACCACAATTGAACCCAACTTCTCTGTTGCTAAGAGAGACAATTATTAAGTGGGTTTTGCCCCATTTTACGACCTTTCTTGCCATAGTTGTTAAGTGAATCCCTGCAGCTATTATGTCAGTAACACGATTGTTAATAATAATAATAATAATAATAATAATAATAATAATAATAATAATAATAATTTTATTTCTATACCGCCCTTCTCCCAAAGGACTCAGGGCGGTGTACAGTCTATTAAAAAACAGAATCAACATCAATTTAAAATAATTTAAAAATATTAAATAAATTTGTGAATTTATTGTTAAGTGAATCTGGCTTCCTCGTTGTCTTTGCTTGTCACAAGGTTGCAAAAGATGATCACATGACCTCAGGACACTGCAACTGTCGTAAACACAAGTCAGTTGCTAAGCATCTGAATTTTGATCACATGACCATGGGGATGCTTCAATGGCCACAAGTCTCTTTTCAGTGCTGTTGTAATTTGAATGGTCACTAAATGAACTGTTGTGAGATGAAGACTACCTGTACCATACAGTACAGTCAACACTTGGCAATAGTAATTCTAAATATTTGGGGGTAGATTTTTTTTTCCCCAGTTTGTTTTTGGATAAAACAGAGAGAACAGACCGTTTTCCTGCCAAAGATTTTCTTCTAAATTGAGTTTGCTACAAGTATCTAGATAAAAGTACATACACATATATATTTATCATTCAATTTAGCTAGCTAACTTTGTTAGGCTGAAATATCTAAGTTTCTAATGAAGCACACTGACTTTCTGAATTTAGCAGAGTAGAAATTGTTTTCTATCCAAACAAGAAAACTATTATTTTGCCTTGCCAGATTTTTCCAGAGAACATTCTTCACTATTAGGCATCTTGAGTCTCATCAATGAATTTAAAATATCGAATAAGCCCCTTGCTGCTATCATGCTTAGAGTGTTGGCATACTTAGCAAGTTATTTTGCCCAAATCTTACCTTCACCATCTTGCCTTCCAGCTAATATATCCGCACCGACCATGGTCCCTACGCCCAACAGACAAACAGCAACAGCAATGAAATGGATTAATTTGTATCTTGCACGGAGGATGAACCATGATAAAGCCATCAGCACAGGAATCCCAAAACAGTCCAGGAGCTGCCATATGCAGAAAGAAAGAGATCTCCATCATAAAAAAAAGAACGGGAAGTGGTCTTTTCTCATCCAGAAAGGAGATGTTCAGGTATCTGACCTGTGTAAATCAGGTTAAACAGTCTGTATCAGGGGTGTCAAACTCAAGGCCCAGGGCCCAGATCCACCACGCAGGGTGCTTAGATCTGGCCCCCAGGGCCACCCTGAAAACAGTAAAGGACCAGCCAGCAGTTCCTCTGCCAGTGAAAACAGAACTCAGGAGGGCCATGTGCAGCCCTCCTAAGCTCCGTTTTCACTGGCAGAGAGTTGCAGGAAGCCGTTGCAGCCGAAAACGGAGCTCGGGAGCCCATTTTTGCTGGCAGACCACTTGGGCTACTACAGAGGCCCCCAACATGAGTGACATCGAGCTGGCCATGCCCACCCTGGCCACACACACACAGACCCAAGATCAAACACAACCCTCATGAGGCCCTCAATGAAATTGAGTTTGACAACCCTGGCCTAAATGGTCTTTACACAGTTAGTAGCAGCAACTGGTTGATCTTGGGTAGATCAACCACAGCCAAGCAGAATGACACCTATCAATGAGAGACCACAAGGAAGTCTAAGGATTGAAGTCTATGCTAGGGAAAAAATTCTAGAAGGCAGTCTTTCCAAACTGTTGCAAAGAAAGCTTAATGGTTGAACTCAACTCAAAGATATCTTTTTAAATTGTCTTCAATGGAACACAGGGCTATATAAACTAACTCTAAAGTCCTTCCAAATAAATTGCCAATAAACTGAAAAATTAAACACAGTTACTTTACACATAGACAGTCATGTTATTAGCTTTAAATTAATGAAATATATTTTCTTTACTCTAAATTTAAATTAAGCCAAAGTTCTGCTTTGTTTTGGGGAGGTTTTCCCCTCATGCCAACTACCCATATTTTTCGGACTATAAGATGCACTGGTGTATAAGACGCACCAAGATTTCAAAGAGGTAAGCAAGAAAAAAAAGTTTTTGCCCTCCCCGGCCCCCAGGAGCACTCTGCGGGCCCCCAAACCCTCTGTACACCCTGTTTTTGTAAAAAAACTAGCCCGTTTTTCACAAAAACAGGATGCAAGGGGCAGGGCTTCAGGAGGCCAAAAATGGCTGTATTCGGTGTATAAGATGCACCAACATTTCCACCCTCTTTTGGGGGGGGGAGTGTGTCTTATACTCCGAAAAGTATGGTATATCTTTGTCCTGGCCAAGGTCTAGTGCCTTAGTCAAACATTTTGACAAAATTTTAACAACACATTAATAACAGCAACCAAAGTATGCTAATTCATGAGGTTATATTGAGTTGATATTTTAAAATAAAAACTTGGCCACCACACAGCAGGAATCAAAGAGATTCTTCCTCTGATCTTTGTAATTTAGCATCCATTTCTTCCTGATTTATCCCCAAATGTCCATACCATGAGAAGTAGTGTGATGTAGTGATTAAGGTGTTAGATTAAGAATAGTAACTCCCAGATTCAAGAGTATTTACAGCAATGGAAATTCATTGGGTGACTTTGAAACAACACTCTCTGTTCAACCTTCCTCACAAGATCATTTGGTATGCAGTTAAAAAGGGGAAATTCTGAGCTCTGGAGGGAAAAAAGGCAAGATATAAATTTAACAAATTAGTATTATAGATTAGTGTTTCTCAACTGTAGCAAGTTTAAGATATTTGGACTTCATGCTGGTTGGAGAACTTCATGCTGGTTAGAGAATTCTGGGAGTTGAAGTCCACATATCTTAAATTTGCTACAGTTGAGAAACGCTGTTATAAACCTTCTAGTTAACACTGGATCATTTGCTCCAATGTTATGGTGAGGCTAAGGTATTTTTTTTTTAAACCTAATCTTTTGAGCTTTAAATAAGACCCACAGAAGAACTTTGTACTAGAATTCTTGGATTTTATCCAGATTTCCTCAGAAGGAGGCACCACTTAATGCAAGGAAGCTCAGTGCCAAGATCATCACACTTGGTTTTAGCAGCTGGTAAACAGCAACAGGGTTCCTACTGCTAGCAGCCTCAAAAGAAAAAAATATATCTGCAAAACAGTTCTTCAAACTAAAATCAGTCTGAAAGCAAAGCAGGCAGCATTGGTTTTTCTTATCGAAAACAAGCTGCTGGATCACTCTCATGGAGAGGAAGTTTCCAGTTGAGGAGAATGTTTTGTTAAGTCATTCTACTGAAATAAATACTTTTTTAAAAAACTGCAACTTTGCCAAAGTGATTTCCAAAAAAGTATCTGTGGGTCAGTGGGTGGAGGAGACCTTGAGAGTTTCTCTTGATTTATGGATATAAATATTGCTCCCCAAACACCAACTGAATTATCAATATGTCTCCAGGTGCTTAGAAAAAGAATCGTTAAGCAGGTTAATCAATAGTATAAATTTGAGATTAGGGTATAGTTAATGTTTATTACTCAACAACATCCTGAATCAATCCATTGCAGGATGAAGACCTCTTTGTTGAAGCTTATGGACTGTAATCTTCCACTTTGATCTAACGCAGGTTGGTAGACAGATATCTTTGATTTCCCAGTTTAGGGCTGAGACAGACTGATCCAAAGTCACCTAGCCAGCTTTTATACCTAAGAGAGGATTCAAACAACAAACTCCAAGCTTCTAGTCCATTATCTTTAACCACAACAACAAACTAGCTCTGATTTCTTAACATTACAGAGCAAAATGTTGGATTGTCAGGTTGGGAAGAGAGTTCCTTCCACCAAAACTTCCCTACTTTTCTGAGAATTCACAATGAATAAAAATAATGCTTCTTTTCAATTCAGTCCTAATTTTAGATCGATAGAAATTTTCCTGCTTCAGTAGCATCAATACAAATATATGTATTATTAAAAAGATCTCCTAATAAAGAAAAAGCCACTGATGAAACATCAAAAGTATCCTCTCAGCAAGGAAATGATTGTATCTAATAGACTAAAATTATGTTTGCATTTATGGACAAAGTTGAGAATCCATTCATTGTTAAACTGTGACTTGAATTGCGCAATCCACCTCAGCAGCAGCGCCAAAGGATGTTCAGGCCTCAGACATAACAAAGGGCACAAAAGTACAATGTTTTACTTTGCAAAGAAGCTGATATAATTCAAGGCTATGTGAAGGAACTCTCAGATTGCATGCTGTATCTTTCATTAACGGCTTTTCTTTGCCTGAAGGCTTTTAACAGCTTAAAAGTCAGGGGTCAATTTGATTATTAAAACACATTTTAGGGAGCATATAAAACGAGGCCATTGTAAATTTCGGTACAGCAATGTGGGATAACTTATCTATTTGAATTCAGGAGCTACATGGAGAGGGCCAGTGCTGTATTTTAACAGCCATTTCTATCGTAAAACAGATGGAATCGGCATTCTGATAAGAGCTGTGGTGGTTGCAGTGGTTAGGATGCAGTACTGCAGACTAACTCTGCCGATTGCTAGCAGTTCGATCCTGACCAGTTCAAGGTTGACTCAGCCTTCCATCCTTCCAAGGTCAGTAAAATGAGGACCCAGATTGTTGGGGGCAATATGCTGACTCTGTAAACTAATTAAAACAAAGGTGGGATACTATGGCCCCTTTATGACTTGTGGAATTCAACTCGCAGAATTCCTGAGCCAGCTGGCTCAGAAATTTTGGGAGTTGAAGTCCACAAGTCATAAAGGGGCCATAGTTCCCCACCCCTGCCTTAGAGAGTGTGGTATATATGAAGTAGTATATAAGTCAAAATGCTATTGCTAATGCTATTCTCCTATCAATTTATTGTACGATATTGAAATTATATTTCAGTAAACCCAAGTTGGCATAGTTGTTTTTTTCCACCATTGCTGCATTCTTGCACCAACCCTATATAGATCACCCAATGAACCTCATGACTGAAGTTAGGATCTAGTTTGGAACCTCCTACTATATTAGATTGTAAATAGCAGTTGCCACAATAGAAATAATAATGCTTAACATGCCAAAATATACACTATTGTTTTTACCTGGACACTTGTTATCGTTGTATATTGATAGGCTTTTACAATGGTGTAGTTAGCTTCAACATCAGCCAATCCAAGCAAAATGTACTTCCACCATTTCTTCTTTAGGATCTGCAAGAGTCCATCACCATCTGAAGAAAAATCAAACAGGTCAGTCTATCTACTATTCCACAGATGCTTCGTTTTTCTGTTCCACCAACATAGGAACTTAAATGGAATGTGAGAAAAAGGCACACTCTGAAGCTGAGGTTAAGATAGTTGGATGTCTGCATCATAGGAGGTATATGTTGGATTTGATGGCTCTGAATTTATACAAGCCACGGTGGCACAGTGGTTAGAGTCCAGTACTGCAGGCTACTCCTGCTGACTGCCGACTGCAAGCAGATTGGCAGTTCAAATCTCACCAGGGTCAAGGTTGACTCAGCCTTCCATCCTTCCAAGGTGGGTAAAATGAGGACCCAAATTGTTGGGGGCAATATGCTGACACTGTAAACCACTTACAGAGGGCTATAAAGCACTGCAAAACAGTATATAATTCTAAGTGCTATAGCTATTTCTTATTTTTTTAATTCTATGCTAGTCACCAAGAGCTGCCTTGGTGAGGCATATAAATTGGATGGATGGATGGATGGATGGTTGGATGGGAGGGAGGGAGGGAGGTGAGTTGATGAGCCATATAAATTGGATGGATGGATGGATGGATGGATGGATGGATGGATGGATGGGAGGGAGGGAGGGAGGGAGGAAGGAAGGAGGGATAAAATTTAAGAAGAATTAAGTTAGGGGATGGAATGGACTATTCTGAAGGAGGACATGGTTGGAGAGTAATATAGGAACTCTTTGAACTCAACGTATTCCATTTTACCTTTCCTAAATGCAAGAGTTGTTGTGTACACTAGGAAAAGCAAACAATAGTTTATGAAACTCTGCAGCATTGGAGTGTTGATGCTGTATTTGTCGGCAAGAAACTGGCTTGTGACCGCAGTCCCGCATATCAGCAAGGAGAGTATTTGACCCAGGAGAAGTGTTTTCACAATATGCCTGCAAATGAAAAAGGAGAGTGGCTTAGAAAGGCTTTATTTATCTATTTACAGAATAGGGCAATTCATAATACATGACAATGGCCTTGCAAATGCACTTGTATCTTATTAGCAAGAAGAATTTAATCAGCAAAGCATTTATCAGTTGACCCAGATGCTTGAAAAAAGCAACAATAAAGGGGCATTTGGTTACTTGGGTGAAGATTAGGCCTGATGCTACTGAACCAAATTCCATTGCTATTCAGCTCTCACTGTTAGGAAATAGCATTTCAAGTGGAGAAAAATTTCTACCATTCTCACAGGGAAACTTTTAAACAGCAGCAGTTAGAATAACGTTAGCAATTTTTCAAGTTGGACAAAAAATTTTAGAAGTGGGATATGCACTTCTATTTTTTTTGTTTTGTTTTCATTTCAAAATTTGTGCCATATGAAAAGTAAAGCATAGCTTGTATTCACATGAATGCCTCCAAGATTCTATAAGGATTCTATAGATGTTCTTAGAACCTAATAATCGTTGCCTATCCTTGTTTTGGAAAAGTCCCGCTCTGCCTAGAAAAAGAGGAAATGAAACTAGCCATGTTTGGGATAGTGGCTAAAGCAGGGATGTCAAACCTGATTGCATTGTGAGCTATGTCATGACGTATCGGGATGTTTTTTTTAAATTGGCAGAGCTGGGGTGGGTGTGACTTGTGTGGGGCATATCTGGCCCATGGGCCTCCCGTTTGACAGGCCTGGGCTAAAGGCACTAGACTAGAATCTAAAGTTTTATGTTTTAGTCCTGCCTAGGCATAAAAGTCAACTGGGTGTGCCAGTCCCTCTCTCTCAGCCCTAGGAAGAGAGAGCCAAGAGTCGTAATGATGCAGTGGTTAGAATGCAGTATTGCAGGCTAACTCTGTCCACAGCCAGGAGTTCAATCCTGACCAGCTCAAGGTTGACTAAACCATCCATTCTTCTGAGGTCGGTAAAAGGAGGACCCAGATTGCTGGGCCAATATGCTGACTCTGTAAACTTCTTAGAGAGGGCTGTAAAGCACTATAAAGCGGTATATAAATCCAAGTGCTATTGCTAAGAAGGTAATGGCAACAGAAACATTACCAAGTATCCTGCATGGACTTGTTCTTGAAATCACCCAGGAGTCACAGTTGATTTGATGAACCATAGCAGCAATAAAGTAAATTGACAGACATTCCTAGAAGACTAAGAGCAAGTGATGATCATCAGTTTATTTTCTGGTGAATGGTGCTATCCATCCACAGCAACTTTTGTAAGAATAGGCAAACATTTTATGCCGGTAACAATGCCCATATGTGCTGTCATAATTTCAACTATCCTCAAACATTGCTCATAATTGTCTTTTGCTTATTTACTTAAAGAATCCTATCACCTCTTACTTTCCCTTATTGATCTCAGAGGCTTGTTCTTAGAATGGAAACCTATTAATTTAATGTATTATTATTTACAACAATTTTCTTCTATGCTTCTCCCCAGTGCAATATTACATACAAGTTCTAGCATTAAACTGCATAGAGGCATTTTGTTATATGAACAGCTCAATGCGTCATAACACCTAACTTTTGCCCCATGGAACACAATCAATATTGGAGATTAATAGTACATAAAAAGATGTGCCAAATAGAAGTGCTGCCAGAATGATGGAAATTAAAGAGGCAGTGCGTTCGCAAATGTTTTACTACTGAAAGAAGACAAAGGAGAGTGGTATAACATTATAATATTAGAACGATGACCGAAAATGTTTGTAATATCAGCTCTGGAAATCTGTTTTCCATAAAGAAAGGACTGCAGGCATGCTTGCAAAATAAGCATGTTCTTGTCTGCTAATTTTCCTAATTGTGCTACTGGGATAGCTATTGATTACCACTTCTTATCAATTATTTATCATCCCATAAATAAAAGAAGAATTATCTTTTGGCTGCCTTTCCCTACCCCACTTTACAATGATAGAAAAGATTAATAGCTTCTTTTTGGATGAGGTAATGGGAATGATCTCAGACAGACTTTTAGTTATGCAGAATAAGGTCCTGATTTATTCTGCTGACCCAAAACCACAATGAGACCTGTTCACCTGGGAATATACAGTATCCTTGATCATTTGCACATTAACTGCAAGGGTGTTAGCCCTATGGGTTTTAAAAAATCGAATTAAAAGATGGAAGGAGACCGTTGTGCAAGGAATAACATTAAAAGAGGATATGGCTGAAAGATCTCAACTGAATAGTTGAGGGTTAGAGTGCCTAAGTGTAATCCCATATCTCAAGTGGAGGCTCTTAGCAGATAACAACACAGTGTGTGAATGTGGACAAATGCAGAACCCAGGCCATCTCTTGGTATGTTGGCTACTACCAGAAACAAGTACTGACAATGACTTATTTTGGGCCAATTAAAAAGCCAAGAAGGTGGCTTCATTCTGGCATTTTAAAGTTGTTTGAGGAGGAGGAGGAAGGGGAGGGGGAGGGGGAGAGGAAGAAGGAGGAGAAGGAGGAGGAGGAGGAGGAGGAGGAAGAGGAGGAGGAGGAGGAGGAGGAGGAGGAGGAGAAGGAGAAGAAGAAGAAGAAGAGAAGGAGAAGGAGAAGGAGAAGGAGAAGGAGAAGGAGAAGGAGAAGGAGAAGGAGAAGAAGAAGCCGGCTTCTGGGCTAATCCAGACAAAAAGCACACTTGGAAGGCTAACTCTGTCTTTATTATACATTAATAGTGTCTTATAAAATTGAAAGTATTTCTCTTCTCTTTCTCCTTACCCTCTGGAAAACTAAGGAGGGGGGGTCTCTGTAAAGGTATGTGAGAAAGATCTTGGGAGATGGATGAAGAGATGCTGACTAAGGAATGGTCAGATAAGAGACATTACAGCCTACAGCTGTATAGTGGGTGGAGCAAGAGGCTCAGGAGAGATCCTCTCTAAGATCTTGGGCTGCAAAGGCAGGAGAATTGTACTTTCAGCTGTAGGAAGTTAGCACCCACCCCTTTCCTAGAGGAATGAAATATTTTGGGAAATATTTCAGTATATACTCTAGTTCAGGGGTATCAAAACTCGAGTTCATTGAGGTCTGCATCAGGAATCTGTTTGGCCTCAGAGGCCGGGTTTGGTGTGGCTAGGGTGGGCATGGCCAGCATGACGTCACTTGTGTCGGGGGCGCCTGAGGTGGCACAAGTGCTTTGCCAGCAAAAATGGGCTCCCGAGCTCCATTTTCAGCTGTAACAGCCTCCTGCAACCGTCTGCCAGCAAAAATGGAGCTCGGGAGGGCCACATGCAGCCCTCCCAAGCTCCGTTTTCACTGGCAGAGGCATCACAGGCCAGTCCTTTGCTGTTTTCAGAGCGGCCCCACGAGACAGATCTAAGCACCCCACGGGCAGATCCGGCCCACAGGCCTTGAATTTGACACCCCTATTCTAGTTCATTCCATGAACTAAGCTTCATTCAAAAAGTAGCCCAGCCAGTGTAGAATAAACCATCAATAACTATGATCTGACCACCAAGTAATTGTGTGGGGAGGGGACACAAAAAGAACAGCAAATGGTTTTATATGTTATTGTTGTTTTGTAAGAAGACACAAAGAGCTAAAGTGTTCCATGTGAGGAAGGGAGAAAAAGTGGATTGATTGGGGGGGGGGGTGTATTTTCCCCCCTTCCTGGTGCATCTGAGTCTTTTCTTAGTGAGATATGGGAGGATAATGAATATGAGCAAATGCAGTGAGACAAAGGAAAAGGAGGGGGGGAAATTAAAATGTTGTGGGAAAGCAATGATGGAAGATGGTACCCAGGGAGAAGTGGTTGGAGATTTTACTGCCAGAAATCAAAATAACCACAACAGCAGGAGATTCTCTTGGTTCTGATGGGTCTCTCAGCAACAATCAATAACATTGATTGTAGTATCTTTGGGCCATCTTGGAGTTGCTGGGGAGATCAATTACCATCAGTATGTTGATGATAACTTGTTGCATATTTCTACTCCCAACAGAACAGTAGATCTAATCAAAGTCTTTATCCAGTACACGGAGGCTGTCAGAGTCTGGATGACTGGTGTAGTTTTTCCTTGAACAAGAAATTTTAACAATGACTATTCCTGCGATTGTCACTTCTCAACTAGAGTAGTTTAATTAATTCTGTGTAGGACTGCCCTCAAGGATCATCAGAATCTATAGATGGTTCAAAGCAGGGGTGAAATGCTACCAGTTTGGACCGGTTCAGCTGAACCGGTAGCGATGGCGGCGGGTAGTTCGGAGAACCAGTAGCGATAGCAGCGTGAGGCTCCGCCCACTTGCCCGGTCGTCGTTACTTCCTGGTTTTAACCTGGAGAGTAACCTGTTTTTTACCCTCTGTGCATGCGCAGAAGGGTTTCCACATGCGCAGAGGGTCCACATGTGCATGTGATACATGCGCACGGCACGTGCACTTCCAAACTGGTAGGGAAGGTACGTAGATTTCACCCCTGGTTCAAAGGCAATTGGCTTATAGCGATGGGTCAAGCTCCATATACTCAGTCCAATACCATTATTCCAAAAATCAGTCATCCAACTCATCTGTTGCACTATATCCAGATCTGAGCACTGCACTTATAACAACATCCAACACAAGAGACAACCTATCCTTTTATCCTTCAAGGATTGCACTACTTTTTTGTCTTTTGGGTGGATAATCCTGTTTATTTAAATTATAACGGGTGCTTAACATACTTATTCTAGTACTTATTTTCAACAAAAAAGGAGAGATTATCTGACACAATCACATGGCAGTGCCCTTCCAAGGGGACCAGGCACAAAAAAGAATCAAACTGATCCCAGTTGGTCTTCAAGTTTATAAGGAGAAAGATTATAGACATCTTCTATTTTGAAAGAGCTTTGATTTTTAAATGAAAGATTGAAGTCATCTTTTGTTTTAAAGAGCTTTGATGTCTGGTTCCTTAAGTCTGACTATTTTTAAGTAGAAATAAGTGACAATGGATAACTTTCAACATTTTGACAACATTCCAAAACTGCATTCCATTCCCAT